TTGGGTAAAGATGTTATGTGATGATTTTTAGACCACAGAGTCTGTTTGGGGCACATACCCCTGTGTTAAGTGAGTGGGCCTGTGCGCTCTCATCAACCTCTGAATTCATAAAGATAGGTCTTTGGGCTCCCTCCTACTCTGGTAGATTCAAGGACAGGCCCTGGCCATGCCGTTGGTCCAGATATCTACTCTGTCCCCACTGTGCATAGCTGGTGACCCCTGCAAACCCACCCAAGTCACCATGGTTTGTTGGCAACATGGAATGATGGTAGGGTTAGCATCAGCAGTGCCCTGGCACTAAATATATGTGCACAGTTAGAAGCAGACCGAGAACACATAGCCAAGGTCTAAGGTTAAGTCCAGGCATAAACTTGATATGCAGACGGGGCCAGCACCATTGCTCAGTAGGTTAATCCTCCGCCTGTGGTGCCAGCATCCTATATGGGTGCTGGTTCTAGTCCTGGCCGCTCCTCTTCCGATCGAGCTCTCTGCTGTGGCCTGGGAAGGCAGTGGAAGATGGTCCAAGTGCTTGGGCCCCTGCACCCGCATGGGAGACCTGGAAGAAGCCCCTGGCTCCTGGCTTCAGACAGACGCAGCTCCAGCCTTTGCGGCCATTTGGGGAGTGAACCAATGGAATGAAGACCTTTCTCTCTGTCTCTCCCTCTCACTGTCTGTAACTCTGCCTCTCAAATAAAAAATAAAATCTTAAAAAAAAAAAAAAAAGAAATACAGAAAAAGGAATCCTGCTTTTTTTCCTCCCACAGAATTTCATGGAGTTGTGTAAGATGGCCCTGACTCTGGCTTTTCAGTGATGAGACTTTTTGCCCCCATTTCTTTAATGCTTTTAAAAGGGAAAACTTGGGTAGGTTAAGCAATATTACAAAATACATGCATTTTAAAGCTTGTTCATTTTTAAATATAGAACATATAAAAGGTGCTAAAAACATTAGAAGTCTCTATAAACACCTTCCCCAGGGGAAAAAAAAAAAAACAACTATAACATTTTACATATAATCCTTGCAAACTCATCTCTACATCATTGGAGTTTTTCACTTGGAAAAAGAAAGAAAAGCAAAGCAGGTGCAGCGGGAATCCTGTTGTACACATTGCATCATGACCTGGTTTTCCCCCACCTAGCACATTGTGTCTGCTTTTCTACACTGATCCATGTTCCTTTGAAAGTCCTGTTTAACCTCTGCATAGTATTGTAGTTCCCTATCAGTATATCAGTACTAGTTATTTAATCTAGTTTCTGTTTATGGCCTTTTAAATTGCTTTTTTTATTTTTTAAATTTCTGTTTTTTCACCTGAAAGGCAGAGAGAAAGAGAGATTTTCCATTACTGGTTCACTCCCTGAATTCCCACAACAGAAGGGCTGGGCCAAGCTGAAGTCAGCTGGCACCGCGTAGAACTCAATCCAGGTCTCCCACAGGGGTGGCAGGGACCCAAATATTTCAGCCATGCTCTGCTGCCATCCCTGGTGCACATTGGCAGGAAGCCGGATCGGAAGTGGAGGAGCCAAGACTCAAACCAGGCACTCCGACAGGGACGCAGGCATCCCTAGCAGCTGCAGCAGACACCCACCTCAGGTGTTTTGTCTCCTGACTGCGGTTTAAAAAGGAAAAAAGAACTGTTGTAATTGAATCTATGTGCATAAGAAAATAAGTACTTCCCAATATTTCTAGAAGTTGGATGATAGAACCAGAGGATATATATAGACAGAAATCTAAGCTTCAGCTAGTGCAGGCCAATTGCTTTCATTCCTGGAATCATTTACAGCTGAGTACCCATTTCTTCCCAGCATCACCAACACTGAGTGTTACCCTTTCCGCTTTCCTCATGGCTGCTGCCTGCCTTTTCTCTCTAATGGAACCTCAGGCCAGAACTGGCCACTGCCGCCACTAACTTGTAAGCATACCCACTGTTGCCTGGAGTCTCCTGCAGCCCCAGGCCGAGTCCTTCCCAAACCAGTCGCCTCCACTCGCAGCCTTCTGTGTCTGCTGGGACACAGGTAAGCACAGTGTTAGGCCATCACAAAACACACCAAACACCGGAGTAAGGGAAAGGGTTTATTGGGGAAAACCAGCAGGCTGGAGGGAAGGGGCGAAGAGGGGAAAAAAGAGAGAGAAGGAGAGTGTAACAGAGAGGAGAGAGAGAGCGAGCGAGCAGGAGAGAGAGAGAGGAGAGAAGAGAGCGAGAGAGTGAGCAGGAGAGAAGAGAGTGAGAGAGTGAGCAGGAGAGAAGAGAAGAGAGCAGAGGAGGAGGCTAGAGAGAGAGCCCCGTGTTCAGGAGCAGGTCCTCTTAAAACTTTGCCGGAGGGCGGTCAGGGAAGCGTGAGCAGCGAATCCCATTAGGAAGGGGGTGGAGCTTGACGCCAGTGGTTGGGCCACGTGGCCCCCTGGCTTCCAGCAATGGTGGCGTGGGGCTAGGGCCTAGGATGTAAATCAGGGTGTAGATCGTGCCATAGATAAAACTGCGCCATTTTCCTAACACTCGGGGCATGCGCGGTCCGTGAGAGAGGAAGGGATGCAAGCTCTTGAGGAGGTTATGTGGGGAGGCCAGCGGCGCCATTTGCAGAGGACGCTGTTCGCCTGCTGGCTCTGCAAAGGGGGTGGGATGCGGTTAGCGTGCCTCCTGAGGGATCTGCCCGACATCAGGCAGTTTGCAAGTTCAGGGGGCAGCAACTGCAGCCTGGGCCTTGTTATTACCCCTGCTGTGTCTTTTCCACTACAGCCTCCTGCCCTTCCTGCGGACACCCCTCCCCGCTCCCGCTCCCCCGTGTGGCAAGGCAGGACCCTCTTAATCGGGGTGGCCAGGTAAAATACAAGAAGCACAGTTACATCTGAGCTGCAGATAAGTTCTTGGAGGAAGGGGAGTCTAAGCAAGGCATGGAGTCTTAGTTGCGAATCTGTGAATTCGGCCGCTTTGATTGAGAAAGACAGACTGCTGAGGGCCAGAAGGCTGTTTGGAGAGCTGTCCCGGAGTAACAGTGACTGCTGGGCGGGGAACGGTCCTACAAGAGGCTGCAGCTCCCGCCCGCTCTCCCGTCCCAGTGCTTGTGTTGCCCTGGATCTGCCCTCTCAAGGGATCTCGCCAAACTGGTGCTCGCAGACAGCGTGCAGTTGCCTGCCAACTCTGGCTGCGGGCAGATGAGAAACATAACGTGGTCAAAAGTGGACTTCTGTGTGGAGTTGCTAAGAAGGAAAGTAAACCCTAGCCAGCCCAGGGAGTCTGTAAGACCAGAGCCACCTGCCCCTCGGGGCAGGACGGTCTCAGATTTCTGACACAGGAGTCTTCCACAGAGACCACCACTGAGGAAGAAAGCTATGTGCAACGGGCGCACTGTCACCTTCCTCGCAGGCAAAGTGGGTGAATGTTTGAGCCCAAGATTTTAACTAGAACCACCTTCCCGGCAGAGGGTGTGCAAAGTGTTTTCTAGTGTGACCACTGCTTGGTGACAGTGTTGGCCAGCTCTGGGGCACAGTCAGCTTGTCTTGTGTTACTACTGTCTATGCATTCACAGTTGTCTCGGGGCCCTGCCTTGTACGGGAGGTGAGGTATTCACCATTTAGGTGAAAATACACTAAGCTTCTTCTTAGCCAAAGGGTGCTAGACCGGTGCAAGTAAGAGTGAGTGTTAGCATCATTGTACTCCATGGCCAATTCTGGATGTGCTTGTGTCTCTTACACTGTTAACAATAGTCATGAGGTGAGTCGCAGGCAGAGGTGACTGGGAGGCTCAAGGGCACACAGGACACCATGTCCTTGAGTTCTAATCAAGTGGTTACAAACATTTCAAGCCAGCAAAAGGACAACACCCGGCTGGTTCCTGATCTGCGTAAGATTTCAGAAGAAAGAACACTCTCACCAGATTCACAGTGCCTAAACAAAACAAAATAACATTTTTCTTAGATGATTTCAAGGTCTGTTGCATTTTTTTTTTTTACTGCGAAGTTCCACAGTAAGACTGCTCATAATAAATTAACCTGGTAGAGAACATTCAGTCCTCTGTAGATAGAACTAACATGTATTCATTTATCAGCAAATATTGTGAGGGCAAGAAGCAATGAATCAGCGAATCAATAAACAAAATTAATAAACTCATAAATAAACTGGGAAGCAACCTGTGATTGTTCAGTAGTGTCTCGGGCATAGGTGGAGATTTTTAATCATGAAAGAACAACCATAAATCGCTAAAAGTCCTTTGAAAGAGCGGTAAGATTATGTGTGACTTCTGTCTGAAATGTAAGTTTACCTATACTAGGTTTAGCTGCAACTTCCAGTTGAACATGTCTCAAGAATACTGAGAAGATAGAAACTCCAACCCTTAGCCTGCTAAGTATGTGCCGGTCATTCATACAGTAGACTGTCAGGGACTCAGCCTTCCACTTGAACTCATAGAACTCGGCTTCCCTTTCTGTGTTCACCTCCCTAGTGCTAGAAGAAAGGGAAAAAAAATCTGTGTAAGAGAAAGGGGGCTTGGGTAAATCTCACTCCCAGAGCTCATCTTTCCCATGGAGTCTGGGATCAATAGGCATTGACCTTGGACCACTGTGGGTGGTCGATAATGAGCCTGCGGTGGCCAGACTTTGTCAGAAGGATCAGAGGACATTGCAGAACGCTGTGTCTTCTCTGGGGGCCAAAGAAGTGCTGGTTCTTCTAACAATCCATGTCTTCATTGCAAGCTTGTACCAAGTCACTAAAAGTTTCAAAGGGCCTAGAGTCAAAGAAGCACCATGAAACTTGAGTTGCTTTGACCTGTAGAGATATAAGACTATTTTTTCTTAGAAAAACACTTGATGCAACTTAATTCAGTCAGCTACCTCTGCATGAGAAATTTCTATCAAATAAAGGATAAATATACCAACTCAGTCCTGGGATTATTTAATGATTCTTTAATATATTTTTTGTTTTGTTATGCCTTGACTTACACATCAGTTGCAGTAAGACTCCAAAATAAATTCTGAAGAGCCTTTATCAAGATTCCCCACTATTTTCTCCCCCCCCCCTTTGCTTTATCATTTGTGCTCTCTCCTCTCATATTTTAAAACCATGTGAATATAAACTGCAAGCTCTTGCCTTTTTTATTACATACCTCACAGTGTTTCTCCTATAAACAAGGACATTGTCTCATGTAATTACGGTACAGTTATCAAAATCAGGAAACTTGACACGCACTAGATACTATTATCTAATCCACAGACCATGCTCAAATTTCAGCTGTTGCCCCAGTAACGTCCTTCGTAGCAATTTTTGGTTTCCTAGGCCAGGGTCACGGATCTCATTTTGCCATCAACATGCATTTTGTGACCATTACAGCGTCTGTGGACAAAAAGAGGACTCTGTTGAGACAAGGTCATTTCTTGGATTTTGTCCAAAAGGATATGAGCATCACCAACAAAATATGAATTGTGCTTTGTTTTTCTTGAGATGTTCTCATGTGAGGCACTGGCAGATACTTTGCTCGTACAGTTCAGCTGTCTCCTAGGAGGTAAGCCGATCGAGGGAGGGTGGTCCCCCGAGAGGGGTGTGCATCTGGTGCCTCTGAGTGTTGGCGGCCACGGTCCAGTAAATTATCCTTGAATTGCGTGGAATGGGGTTGAATTAAATAGATTAAATGAATTGTTCCAAACCATTCCCTCACACCCTGCCTAAGAAAGGTTATTTTGCTTATATACTCATTGCCTAAACAAATACAATGTGACTGTGTTTATTAGGGAAATAACAGGTGCCCTGTATTTATGCTCTGACGTATCTCATTGTATGTATTTGTACATAAAGGGTTCCTATGTCAAAGAAGGGAAACACTTTACCCCAATTCCAACATAAATACAACCTTCGAATCCTGTATGTAGGATAAGAATGGGAACTGCCTGCCGCTCTCTGCAGAGACATAAAAACGAGGCACCAGGTCACGCATTGCCTTTCGGGGCAGAACGTGTTTGCACACGACTTTTGAGCAACGTGAAGTTTCTCAAGACAAGTCAGAAATACGATTTCAACATTTCTCCGTTTCATGTCCTGCTGAGCCGTTTTCCCCCTCCTCGAATCCTTCTTTAGCTTTGAGCTTCTGTGTGTGTGTTTTCCTTGGAGAGGTTGACTTAAAACTAAGCGGGATGAGCAGATCCTCTCCCTAGGGAGCAATCTCGTTTATAGCTGTGAGCAGGTCCCAGAACACACTGGAGGGCTGCTCTCTGCGGAGCCAGCAGGAGCCGTCTCGGTAACAACGGGCTACAGCTAAGAGCCTGGCGCCACCAGGAAAGCCCTCCTCGGCCCAAACACACAACTCCTCTGACCCCTTCTTCCCATGTGGTGGGGCGAGCCCTCGCCAGAGGATGAAAAGCGAAACCTCGGGACCTTCTTGCCAGGTGCCACAGAAAGTGGGGAGGGCCCGGCAGCCCGATCCTGCGGGGAGAGGTGTGGCTGCCACCTTATTCCTTAAGGAGTGGCACCTCAAGGGCTGGTGTGCTCCTTGCCAACCAAGGAAGAAGCCACTGTTGGAGCCTCCTTCAAAGGCCGGGTGTCTGTGGGCTGGGGCTTGGTGTGGGGGTAGCCAGTGGGAATCACTGCTGTTCCTTTTTCTCAAAACGTGGGTTCTTTGGTTTCTGAGGGACATGGGGCTGGGCTCCAGGTGTGTTAGGCAGTAAGATGGGTGGAACTGGCTTTCTGGTCTACCTCCTGGTCTGCAGTGGATCCAGTACTGGTGTGTGTCGGGGCTGGCGCTCCCCAGGGGCCCTGCTGGTGCCTGTTGGGCTGGGCAGGGACCAGCTGCACCTGGTCGCTGGCATGAGCCCCTCCTGCAGCTGGCAATGTGGCTGCCTGGAAGCCAGGCTCTGTCAGTCATGGGAAGCAGCATCTGCGGTCCTCGCTGGGGCCGTTTGGTCCCCTAAGAGACATTTGGCCTTGGCTGGAGGCCTTTCTGGTTGTCACAGCTGAGGGTCAAGAGCGGCTGCTACCGCCTTTAATGCATAGAGGCCACAGTTGCTGCCAGACATCCCCCAGTGCACAGCACAGCCCCACAACGGAGTGAGGGGCCCCAGACGGTTAGTAGCCGGGGAGATACACTGACTTGTCGGCCGAGGCGTCTTATCCCCACTGTCTCCTCCACTCACCCTGTACCAGAATGAACTGGAGCAGCTCCAGCTGCAGTCCGCCTTGTCCTTACCCCTTCCTCCTGAGCCGGCCCCTCCTGCTTTTACAGCTGTATCACTGATGTACAGTTTTCCACTTCGTAGCCGGAGCTACGTCCCAAGATTTCCCCAGCAGATGCCTGAAACTGGGTAGTTCCAAACCCTACATGTGCGTGTTTCCTCTACTGAGCATATCTAGGATAAAGTTTGCTTTGTAAAGTATGCACGGTGACCGATGAGCAGGAGTAGAATAGAACTGTCACAACGTGCTGAAGGAAAAGCTATGTGAATGTAGTCTGTTTCTTACAAAATACACTGTCACCCTTGTGTTCATGTCAGCCGATACAGTGCCCACAGCCTGAGTTGAAGGGAGCTGGATGGTGCAGGCACTGGGGTGTGGCGTTCACTGCTGTGGGCCCTCTGTGGTACATCAGAAGGAGGCTCCTGGGCCGTCACTGTGTTAATACAGGGCCAGCAGTGGATATAGCATGGAGACCCCGACCAAGGGGATGACCCACTCAGGGATTTCATCACGGTGCTCAGAAGGGCGTGTAGTTTAAAACTTGTGAATGGTTTGCTTCTGCAACTTTCCATTGAATATTTTGAGACCACTGTTGGCAGCAAGTAACTGAAACCACAGGAACGAAATCGGGGCTAAGGGGGCCTCCACATTTGAGTTGTTTATCGTTGCAGTGCGTGGCCCTTGCAGAGGCTGCAAGGGCAGGAGCCACAGCTGGTGCCCTCTGTGTGCTCTAAGACAGCCCTGGCAAGCCTCAGAAACCTTTGGAGCTTTTCAAGAAGGCACAAATCCAGGGCCAGGGACCAGTGGGATCTGCCCTGGCCACTCGGAGGCACAGAGAGAGTTTTATGCAGGCTTAGAGAATTTGCAGACTGTGTGAAGCCCTCTCTCTGGTCCCTGAATGGGAGCCCCGAACCAAGACTCCTGTAAGCATGCGTGGGGCCCAGGGATGCTGAGGGTATGGGTCAAGTTTAGGTCTTTTCTTTGTGGAGACCGTCTCCAACCAGTCATCATGAAAGTGGCATGAGGGTGCAGGAAGACACTCCCGTACCCGGGATGCAGAGAGAAGGGAGAGGTTGGCATTAGAGCTCAGCTTGTTCAGAAAAGAGAGTGAGCACCTAAGGCGTTCAGAGCTGTTCGCCTAAGTCACAGCCGCGGCAGCAGGCTCTGTTTTCACAAGGTCATCGTCCACACAGAAGCCAGGCAGCACCCTTTCTGCTGGTGTAACTTGGGCAGGTTCCCTCTTCCCTGTATTTGGCTTGAAGGAAGAGCTGAATGTGGGACTTGTAAGGCAAACCAAATACTTCAGAATATAAATACCACTGCTGGGATGGGAATGGTTCTAAAATGATTGCAAGAAGAGAAACATTTGTTGTCAGCGTTGAGTTGGTGAATGTGGGGCGGTTGGAGGCTCTGGGAAGGGGTACAGTTTGTACGTTCCGGTGTTGCCCTTCGCCCAAGTTCATCTTGTTCCCGGGATCGCTTCTGGGCAGCTGTGGTAAACAACCCATTCTGAAACGTCTTCAGGTCAGGATCTTGAGAGCCTGTGGCAGTCAGAGAAGCTGCGAGCCCCTGGGCTGGGTCTTGGCTGTGTCTGAAGAGGGCGTGTGTGTTTGTGTGTGTACGTGAGAGAGAGAAAGAAAAAACTCCAGGCAGAAATGCCTCACCCACCCTGACCATCAGCGGTCTCTATATCCCTAGCCACAAACTGGATTTTAAACACAGTTAATAGTAACTTGTTTTTTCAGGCCTTTTAAAGAAGAAACACGAAGTATAAATACACTGGGGTAAATAAATTTAGTTCCCTCTGATTGCATTTTTTACACCCATGCTTTCAAAATTAGCCCATGGTTCAAAAACATGAGCAAGCCGTTCTCATCGGCAAAGTCAACAACTGTACAATTTCTGTTCAAGATTATAATCTGCTTTCGGGTGGGGAAGGTGAGGGCAGAGCAAGCTGCCATAGTCTCTTTGAGCCATTCTTCCCGAGTAGAATGCAGGCTGGTGCGCCCCTTCCACAGCTGTGACTTGGTATCTGGTGTAGAGAAGGTGCTGAGTACCTCCATGTTGCTAGCAATAAAGTCATCTGTAAAGATCCGAATTTGGGGCCAGGCATTGGGTTCAGGGGATAAAGTGCTGCTTAACCATTGGAGTACCAGGGTTCGAGTCCTAGCTGTGCTCTGGGTTCCAGCTTCCTGCTAATGCACACTCAGAGAGGCAGCAGGTGACAATTCAAGTACTTGAGTCTCTTCCACCTATATGAGATTGGATTGAGTCCCTGGCTCCTGGCTCTGGTCTGGCCTAGCCTAGCTTTTGACATCTGGGGAGTGACCCATCAGATGGGATATCTATATATCTGTCTGTTTTCCTTTTAAATAAAAAAATTATTTAAAAAATGCATTATAATTTGACTTAAAGTTTGTAACGGGGTTCTTGGGAGCAGCTTCTCTGTAATACGGCCTCATTCGGAAGGGGAAACTGAGATGTAACGTGCACCCTACATCCAAGTGGTGCTTGGAATAGACACAGTCTATGGAAAAACTTGACTCAGTAGAAACCTTGTGCTGATACAGAAATGCAGGCCATAACTAACAGGAGTGAAGTCCCAAGGATATTCTGTGCTGGTGTTGGCCTTAAGGAAAGAGCCAGAGTGAATTCTAGTGACACTAGTTCTTTTGTCTCCAGAATCAGAGCAGTATTGCTAACCTTCCAGGGCCAGCAGTTGCATCAGTAGACAGTAGGTGGTGGTCTTGAACTGGCCGTAGCATGTGCTACCACCGCTGTCTGGGAGAAAAAGGGCCTGGTTGATACAAAGTCGCCAATTATTCCAGGTAGAGGCAGTGATTGTCAGGTGTAATCGGAATGTCCCTGGCCCAGGAGCTCATCTCTGCGCCCTGGATCATCAGCCGGGAAGCCAGAGCAGTGGACTTGAGCAGCCACATAGGAAAGCAGAGCACCATCTAGAGAAAGACAGAGCCTGGAGCTGGCCAGAGTCCCCCACTCCGCAGCGTGTCCCAGTGAGAGTGGCAAAATCCGCCATCAGTGGAGGGATGGAGGTCGATGCAGTTAACAGGGTTAGCCGCAGAAAGAGCTTGTCAGGCAACAGTCAGACCCAAAGACCTGGCTTTTAAAGAGAAAAGGCCCCTGGCTATAAAGGAGAATAGAGGAAATGGAGATTCTTAAAATGCCACTGTCCTCCATGCACTTCTGGACATGGTTTCAGATCCACTGTAGGCCTCACACATGGCATCTCGGTGACCACGGTGAAGAGCGAGTGACTCACGTAGTGAATGATGCGTCTGCAGTGGGCCTGCCTGTGTGTGTGCTTCGTTGGCATGTCAGCACGTCATCTTTGGATTTACAAAGCTAGTAGTGTCTGTTGTCAAGACCCGATTTAAAGTGATACATGTTTAAATAAGTCCTGTATAGGAGGCTTCCCATTCTTAATTTTTCAGTGTGAATTATTTATATACTGCACATTCTAGAGAATATTCCTGCCTCCAGGATAGATGTTTGCCCTCCTAGGAGGGGGTAGGCATTTGATGTAGCAGTTAAGACACTGCTTGGGATGCTCACAACCCGTATCAGACTGTGTGGGACTGAGTCCCAGCTCCACTCCCAATTTCAGCTTCCTACTAGAGTGGACCCTGGGGGCAGGGGTTGATGCTTGCATCCCAGTCACCCACGTGGGAGACCCAGTTTGAGAACAAGGATCTTGGCTTTGGCCCAGCCCAACTCCTGGAGTTGCCGGCATTTGGAGAGTGAATCAATGAATAGAGGAAATCTGTTTTCTTTTCCTTTGTTTCTTCCTTTCTTTTCTTTTTTTCCTTTCTTTCTCTCCTCCCGCTTGTCTCTCTGCCTTTCAAATAAAATATAATTTTAAAAAGTTTATAAGGGCATTATGACATAAGGCAGCAGGGTAAAGAGAAGCAAACACAGATATGAGGGTTTGGGGGTTTCGTTTTGCTAGCAATTGGATGCAGCATCTTAGAAAAAGGACCTGGCCCCTCCCTTACTTGGTGCCTTCATGTCTCGGTGGAAAAGGGCGGGATCCGAGTACAGAAGCCAGACAGTTCACCTGCTGACCTGCAGCCCAGGAGTAGAAGACTGACATCTAGTTTAACCTGAAAAGGTGACTCAGGTTTCTTAATTCTTTACAAGACAGCAGCACTGTACTCTGGGCAAGTATCTGCTTGTGGGCTGATCTCCATCTGGTACCTAGGAATTAACATTGTCATTTTTGTGAGGGCTGGGAGCAGAACTTGAATTCCTTCCAGTGTGGACTATTGTCCTGGCGGGTGCTATTTATCCACTGGGTAGGGCAACTCAAGAGCAAGGGAGAGGAAAGGTTTTGTCCCTCCTCTAGGAAAGCAGTGTCAGAGGGACAGATTGACCGTGTCAGAAAACTCGTCTAGTTTCCCTTCCTTTTGGGCCTGTGGTGGGAATCCAGCATACGTAGTTGTGAACAGATGTGCACTTGAACTTGAGGAAGTGGTCTTGGGAAAGTTCTGTAGGCTTTGGGAGGAGGGTTAGGCTCTTCTCATTTTGCCTCCACTGGCTGGAATCAAACTCACAAGCACACTACTGAAAGTTCTTGCCTGTGTTTTTTTTATTTGTTTGCTTTTTCAACCCAAAAAGTATGGGCAAAGGCCCTCAAGTCGAAGGCAGGTGACGTTTCCAGCAGTGTATAGGGGTCTCCAGCCTTCCTCTGTCCTGGCCTGGTCACTCCAGTCGTCAAGAACAAGGAGCTACAGGGTGGCTTCCCCCTGGCCTGCCTGCCAGCCACCAGCTTGAGCCTGGGGCAGTGGGGGGGACAATAGAGAGAAGTACACTCTCTTCAAAATTGTCTTTGTGCACAAAGAGTCCAGGTAGTAAGCGGGTACTTCCAAAAGTTTGTGGAAAGCTGAATTCAAGAGAAGTTTATTTTGATACAAGAAAGTTTAAAGTCCACATATATGAAGACTCTTCAAAAAGTTCATGAAAAATGCATACTATGAAAAATAGTATGTGCATCTAGTTCAACATTTTTGCACCAAAATATTTTTTTAAATTCTTTTGAAAGGGACACAGAAAGAGAGATGTTCCATTTGCTGGCTCACTCCCTAAATGCCCACAACAGCCGGAATTGGACCAAGCTAAAGCCAGGCTCCAAGAACTCAGTCCAGGTCTCCCACATGGGTGGCAGGGACCCAAGTACCTGGGCCCTCACCGGCTACCACCCAGGGCATGAATCAGCGGAAAGCTGGACTCAGCGCTGGCACGCAGACTTGACCCTGTGCACTCTGATACACGGCCCTGTCATCCCAGGCAGCGTCAGCTGCTGCACTGAACATCTACCCCAAACTTCATTCTATTTCTCCATGAGGTTTTCAGGCATCCTCATGTAATCATTCTTGCCCAACCCACTGTCAAGCACTTAATGTCTTCAAAAAAAATGTCATGGAAAATGAAGGGAAGGTCTGGTTGACTCAAAGTTTTGTTTGAGATGTTTAATAGTAAGAGAACCTAGCTCTCATCTTTTTAACAATGTTGCCATAGGGGTAATGGAAAGCAGCATATTTCTGGTTCAGGAAATGCTCTTGATTTTCTGCATATCAATATTGACGGTAAACAGGAAGTTAGACTTTTAGTCTTAGATATTTTGCTCAGAATAGAGGGATACAGGTCAGTGTTTTGGCCCAGTGTGTTAAGCCACCGCCTGAGCCACTGGCATCCCATGTGTATGCCAGTCAGAGTCCTGGCTGCTCCACTTCCTATCCAGCTCCCTGCTGATGTATCTGGGAAGGCAACAGAGGATGGCCCAAGTGCTTGGGCCTCTACCACCCATGTGGGAGACCTGGATGGAGTTCCTGGCTCCTGGCTTCAGCCTGGCCCAGCCCTGGCGACTGCCAGCATTTGAGGAATGAGCCAACAGATACAGGATCTCCCTCTCTGTCTCTGTCTCTCTCTCTCTCACACTCTGCCTTTCAAATAAATAAATCTTTAATTAAAAAAAAAAATACCGGGATTTTCAAAAAGTTAATGGAAAATGCATACTGTGAAAAAGCTATGCATGGATTTCAAATGTGTTTGCACCAAGATAATCCTACCTGTTAATTCCACTTTCCATTGACTTTGTGCCCTGCCCACCTTCAATGGAAGCCCAGGAAACCTGAGTGGCTACATAGTCACAGGGGCTTCCATGCTGGGAAGTGGGGAGAGGACCCGGGACTCAGTGTTTCTCTTTGTGTCTCTGCAGTATGCCACCACGGGCTGCTCCCTGACCCTGCACCACACGGAGAAGCCAGAACACGAAGACATCTGTGAATACCGTCCCTACTCCTGCCCTTGTCCTGGTGCCTCCTGCAAGTGGCAGGGGTCCCTGGAAGCCGTGATGTCCCATCTCATGCACGCCCACAAGAGCATCACCACGCTTCAGGGAGAAGACATCGTCTTTCTAGCCACAGACATTAACCTGCCAGGGGCTGTCGACTGGGTGATGATGCAGTCCTGTTTCGGCCACCACTTCATGCTGGTGCTGGAGAAACAGGAGAAGTACGAAGGCCACCAGCAGTTTTTCGCCATCGTCCTGCTCATCGGCACCCGCAAGCAAGCTGAGAACTTTGCCTACAGACTGGAGTTGAACGGGAACCGGCGGAGACTGACCTGGGAGGCCACGCCACGCTCCATCCACGACGGCGTGTCCGCGGCCATCATGAACAGCGACTGCCTCGTCTTTGACACAGCCATAGCGCATCTTTTTGCAGATAACGGGAACCTTGGCATCAACGTGACCATCTCCACGTGTTGCCCCTGATTCGCCGGGTGGCTTTCCTAAACCGTTGAGATGACCTGGGCTTCGTGCTCTATGTTTAATAAAGATTTTTACAGATGTTTTAGCCAATATGTCTTCGCAAGTCAGAGCCCGCCATCAGCCGGTGTTTTTTGTTTGTCGACCAGCAGCGTCCCATCCCGACAGAGGTCCTTACAGGGGGATGCAGAGGGCTGGCCTGTTAACAGGAGGCTCCTCTGTGCTGTCAGGTCACTCCGTTGTTAACTTGTGTTTACTTCCTGAACGACACGCGACAGGTGGCTCAGGGCTCCCCAGACCAGGATACGAGGAAGCGGAGGCACCTTCCCGCTGCCTCCCTCCATCTGTCCCTACACATTGACAAAAGCACATTGATTGTCAACAGATTCCTTAATCTGACTTCTACTTTTGAGGGGTAGGAACTGTTTTCATGCATTTTAAACCAAGTCGCTCAAACTGGATGGCTGACCAGAATCATCTGGAACCCTCATCCTAAAAATGGTGATAGGGCGGAGGCCATGAATGGAACCGTCTCGTCACATAGTAAAGTTTGAGGATTAAACTGTAGACACAAGGGTCCAGGTTTTAAAGGTGCTTTAAGGTTGCCCTCTGCTGATACTGTTGGTCTTTCTACTGTTTCACTCTCCAACCGCCCCCTGTCCTCAAAAATAGAGCTATAGATCCACGTGAACACACTCCTGGGGTTGGTCACTCTTGGGTCTGGGGAGGGCTGCCTAGGAAAGGCATGGCCAATGAGAGTTCTCCGTGATTAAGCACAGATGACCTGTCTTCCCAGCAGCCTTCCTTGATGGTAGCTGGTATGAAAGACTAGGTTGGTAGAGTTGGAAAAGCTTTATAAACACACCATATGCTTGCTATTTAAAGGGATGTGTTGTTTTTTTTTTTTTTTTTGCCACATTCACTTTAGTTTTGTAATAAATATTTTCCAAAAATGAATGTTGTCCTCCTTTCTCCTAGTTGGATAAGATGTAACTATTGGGCAGCTCCTGTGTGCAAGTGCAACTAAACCTCATCATGCCCTCTAGGATTGGAGCCAGCTCTGTCCCCAAAGGAGGAAGCAGCCATTTGTCAGAGGTCATGGTGTGGGGCAGGGGCAGCACTGGAGCCCAAACTCACATCTCAGAAGTGTGGACAGCAGTGGGCCCTTCTGTGGGACAGTGCCAGGACCCCTGCAGGAGGGGTATTACTCCCGCTGCACAGAATCAGGGAGCTGGGTGGGTGCTGATGTCCACAGTACTGAGCTTGATCCAGGGTCCCTCAGTCCCAACCCTCAGTTCTCTCAAGAACTCCAGAGATTACCCCCAGTGCCCAGAAAGCCTTCAAGACCACTTTCCACAGTAAGCTAGCGTCATTAGTACAGTACCAGGTGGCAGTGAGGGCTGTGCGCTTGTTTTTGTTTCTGGCGTGTGACAGTTCTCATCCCTGTCTTCTACCAGCATAGAATTCTGGCAGTAATGGAATTTCTAACATACGTATCTTCTAGCCTATCCTTCAAATAAAGGTTTCTTAAAAATGCCCTACTCCAAGGGAGTTGCTTCCAACATGTTTGGTGAATGAATGAAAATCCCAGCATTTATCACTAAGAAAGTTGCATTTCGAGCTGGTATATGGAAGACCCTGTGGAGGTAGAACTAGGGTCCAGGAGCGGCTGGACCTGGGCCCTGGGGACAGAGCCGGTCCACATGGCCGTCCAGTACCTGCACAGCCCGCAGGCAGTGTGTTCTATCAACCAGCCTGACTGGCCAGCATTCCTTATGTCCACATCTCACGTTCCCTGTCCTGTGTGATGGTAGCAATCAGAACCAATTGGTCCACAGTGCAGCAAAGGGCAAAGCTAGAAACCAAACATCATGAAGGAGAGAGAGGAAACAAATTGCCAAAAGCACCAAATGTTAGGTTTTTAGTCCAAAGAGGTAAAGTGACGGGGCAGGAGCCCCGCTGGACGTTGGTAGGGGCAGCACGGATTCCAGAATTCAGGGCTCCCAATTCCCCACTCAGACAGGCTTCTCCAACTGCACCAATGGAAATAAAGTTGCAGGCAACGCAGCTTTTTATTTTCCAGAACTGTTTACCTCACTCTGGTCTTAGTCATTGGAAGTCTATAACCTTAACCTGTACTCTCTTTCTTGAAACTGCATTTTCAGCCAGAAAACAAAAATCCCCGGGTCATTCCCTGTTTAACGAGGAAGTAAAAACACTAAAAAAGATGGTATAAGTTGAAATGCCTTTTTGCATAGTTCTAATTGCAAATGCGGTTTTAAAACAATGATATGTATTTGCCACTTATCTCAAAGTCCACTTTACCATATTTAAGAAAAAAATTTTTTTTCTCTTTCCAGTTTTAGTTCAATCTTCTAATTTGATAAAAATCTGGCCAGATAGGTTCAACCTGTGTTTAATGAGATCTGTGCTGTTCTAAAGGGGAAAAAAAAGGTTCTGAATATAACTTGAAAGACAATGTTAACAGTCACTCCTGAGTGGCGGGAACTGGAATATTCGTTATTATTTGTATTATTTCATACTTTAAACACCAACCGCACTTGAGGACAGGACTATCCAAGCCTTCTTTGAGGAGGAACGAACTGGCCTTAGTTAGTTTCCCCGAACCCTGAAGAGTGGACTCTCTTGAGGGGTTAAATCCTATTGGGGGGCTTTCCAGGGGGTTCTGAGGTGTTAACCATCCTTGATCTCCGCCCCCCTCGCCAGGAGAGCCCCGATTCCATCAACACACACCCAAAGCAGCAGCAGAGCGCCTCTGGGCTAGCAGCCCTCTGCAGCTCCCTCCCACACCGTGCCCAGGGAATCCTCCTCAGGAAAGAGGAAGATTCTTCCACCTCCCTTCACGCAGGCCCGTGGAACTCGCCAGCCGGCCAGCGAGGGCCCCCTGGTTGAGTCAGCGGACCTCTCTGGTCCCACGTTGCCTAACCCGCATCACCGGGAGCTTGATCTTCTAAGTGTTCTTCCTTTTGTGCTGATTTCTCTGCAACAATTAAGCTGCCCGAGGTTGGGGTTAAGGTGTGTCAGTCATTCCGCCAGCCTTCGTTCGAGGTGACCCCGCGTGTGTGTGTCAGCACTGGCAGGTGAGTCACGCTCCAGCTGCCTCTCACGTTCCCACGGCTGAGAGCTGGGCTGGTGCCTGGTCACGGAGACCAGTTGTGCTTTGTAGTGCTGGCTTGAGAGGCCCCCATGGCCCGGAGCCCTCCTGACTCATACATCCCCAGCCTTAAAGTGCGGTTACAGCTCAACGGCCTGTGGAAGGAGGGCAGCAATGCCTGCAGGATGGAAAGCCAGTTCTTGGTAGTGTTCATCCTTCTGCTTCTAGAGATGGCTCACTTGTGAATACTGTTCACTTGTCTTGGCATCCCCAAATGACAAGCACGAGAGGACTTTAGACCCATTTTGAAGTAGACAGGCATACAGGTTGAAATTGATTAGTTTGTGAGCTGGAAGACCACGCCTTTACCACGCCCTTGGATGACCTCATGCCCCTACCTGGCCACACCTGAGTGCCCACCGGCCAATCAGGTTAATTAACCACTCCCCTTTGAGAGTGGATTAAAAGCCTGGACCAGGGTGTGTCCGGCCCTTTCCTTCCTTTCCCTGGCCTCTTGCCAGGAGGGGGCTGGCTGCAGCCCTGCGCCTCCCGGGCATGTGGCCTTTGGGTCACCCTTGCCCCATGCTTCCAGCCTGGATGCTCTTCCACGTGGCTGGTTCCTGGTACTCCGTATGAACCCAGATTTACTTCTCTCTTAGATAAAGCTCTCACTCTCCTATGCATCTTTCACACTGAATAAAAGCTTAAAATGTACCATGCTGCCTCATTCATTTGTGCCGGTATTCAGAATTCCTCTCTGAATATTAGGCAAGGACCCACTAGGGCTTATTAATATTAGGAACTTATTAATAAGCATTTGGTGATATTGTATGGCACCCCAAATTCCGATAACATATGTGGCACCCCAGATGGGACTTTTGGGGAACTTTAAGGGACCACATTTCGATATATATTTTAGGGGGCCAAATTCCGATATCAATTTGACACTGCCATTCACAACCACTATCCATCTTCCAGAAAAAAATAGCTATTTTCCAGAGGGGAACCCACTGGCCCCATACCACAAACTGGTTAGTGTCTTCCATGTTGAGCAAAAGGGGAAAATAATTACAGAGCTACAAGCCAACATTTTATGATAATTAGGCAAACGAAGTAAACTTGCTCTCAGTCTTGGTTCCTCCAACTTCTCCCGAGCTCCAGTGCCACCAGTTGGGCCTGGACCACTGTCCATGCCCTCCTTCCTCCTTCTGCCCCAAACCAGTCTACTCAACACGCAGTCAGCAAGCGCTCTTTAAATGAAGATCAGTGGTGTCACAGATAATATTCCCTTTTGGAACAGCCTGTTCTTTTCTTTGATAGTCTGAGCACAATTGCAATTGTCTGTTTGTTCAGCACCTGCCTCTCTTCCACAAACTCCAGGGTGAGAGACACTTGAAGTTCTTGTTCATTTGCCCCCATATCCCTGATACCCGGGGCACCCCATTAATGTCTGGCTGAATAAATTACTACTAACGGGCTAGGCTGATGGTAGCACTGAAGTCAACACTTTAAGAGTTAATGTTCCCTGGTTTCTCTGGCTTGGCACCTGAAGTCACTAGGGGAACCTGCAGAGAGCAGAGATAATCCCACAATCTACATAAGGGAGGGGGAAAAAGGGTTTCTCTACCCCTGCCATTCTCTAGGCAGGGACAGAATGCTGGTCTGCGGGCTCTGTGCCTTGAAGTTCCTTGCGTCACTGTGTCACCTGACTTTCAGATCAAAGGCAGGCTCTGTGTTTGATGAGCCTTGCAGAGAGCACAGATAAATTCCCTTGACCTGCAGGGAATCAGATTACGAGATTAGATCAGTTTGCAAAGTCCACCAAGATCACAGCCTCTATATGGGCATCTATTGTGTGCAAGGTGCTTTGTCCACATTAACCCTTTGAATGCTCCCCAGGAGATAATAAGAAGGACATATTAGCCCCATTTTGGAAATTAGAGATTAAGTGCCTTGCTTCCAGTGCCCAGCTGGAAAG